AGGGTCCACTTAGAGTAATGGCTGTGAACATCTCTCCCAAGTGTCTTCCATGGACAGAGATGATATTTGCTAAAAATGACTCAAAACTTCTTGGCAAGACCATGTTAAACAGGGAGGAAGAGTTTTGCCTCTCTAGACTGATCTTGTCACAGATTGCATGCTGACTCAGTGTCACCATGTTCTCAATTTGAATTGTGGTTCACAGAGAGAGGAAGGCCATACATGAAATATGTTAGTGCCACAAAGCTGAAAAAATGTTTTCAAGGTAAATATAAGTTCTCTGAAGATTGTCTGGTCAATTGGCTGATATAAGAAATGGGAAAATTTCTGTTCATAGCACTGTCTACTTCATATGGTATCAAAGAAACTGCTGTTTTTTGTTTATTAACCTAGAGCCATTAACATTAAAACATTCCATTCCCTGGGTATTATTACTGCTTGGTCAGTAAATGACATATTAGAGCATATGCGCATACTGGCTGAAAGTTTGGGATTTGTATTCCATATTACAACCATAAAAGCAGTCATATCAGTTCCTGATTGATATTTATTTTTTGGCTTTTCTTTGACATGTGATAGGTTTGATTTATGAAAGCAACTGATAATTGCACAGCATAGAATTGTGGACTGGAATCCCAAAGCTTTTGGATTAGATTCTAGTTTTGTCACTAGTACTCTGCCTGACTAAGGTAAGTCAGATAAATTCGCTTCTGGCTTTCATATAAAAAGATTGGAAAATGTCATAATCAAAGTGTCTTCCATATTTAAAACTTGACACTTGAAATTTTAGCGTATTCTTATTTTTACTTTTCTGTTCTTGAACTGTTTGCAGTAGGAATTTCTACCTTCATATATGTTAGAAGGGTATTGGATTAATTATATGGTGCCTGTGAAAATCTTGAACCATCTAGAAATAAAACTAATGGAAGCAGTCAAGTTCTCCATTATTAATTAAGTACCTTTAAACAGTAATATTATGCCATTTGTGAAACTATCAACAATATTGAAGCCAAGGTAAAATTCACTAAAAGAAAAATATGGTATTGCATGTAAAGTTCAATTTATTTTTAGGAAAAACTCTATGATGTGAGATTTTAAACTTCAGGGATTCTGAAGGTCCCTCTTGTATTTCTAAAGTGATAGAAATCATCCATGATTCATTTTATTCTCTAGAAAGATTGACTACTAACAGGTTTGATAAGTGTGAAAGATAATCATCCTACACTCAAATGTGGGCAGCCATCATGATGTCTGAGTATAGCATGCTTTTAAACTTAGCAATTGCTGTTTACAATCTTATTATTTACCTTCATATCCTTGGCAGTAAGCTTGTGAGGACTGGTGAAAATTAAAGCCAATGCCCTAGGAACAAAGAAAGGTCTTTGTTCTTTACAAAAGAGGAACTGATTAGCTGAGGTATTGTTGAGATTTCACTATCATCCTCAAGAACAAAGAGTGTCAATGTCTTGATTCTTGATCAGATGAGGACACTATCCACTTCCCTGGAAATCACAGCACATGGGTCCTTAGTTGAGAGGTAATTTGATACAGTGTGAATGGGTTTGTTAAAACTTTTTGTGCTCAGCACCTGTGCAAATTCTCCATTCATGTTTGATATTTATTTATTTTTTCCTGTCTTCACTCTTGAGCTGAGTTAACAGTAGACTGGGTTTAATCATTTCTGTGTGGTAGGTTTCTTGGTGCCCAATTATGTGACAGACAAGGCACTCTACTGCCCTGTAAGTGTTGAGGATGGATATGGCTGTCTCTTCCAGGTGTAGTTGTGGCGGTGTGACTCTGGTTTATTTATAATCTATGGTGTGGAGAGGACCATGATGGCTGGGGAGTCACTTCCTACTGGAAAGCGCAGAAACCTTGCACTGGGACATGAGTGGGTCAAAGCCATTTCTGTGCCTTTTTGGTCTCAGTTTTTCAGTCTCTCCTGGAGACAAATAGGAATCACCCCCTCCAGGGCTGTGGTAAGGAGAAAATAAAATTAGTTATTTCCCCAGACCCAAACTCAAAATGACCAAATCTAATTTTTCAGTCTTTTTTTGTCCCTGACAAAAATGAAATCAGCTAAAGCATTTTGTATTATTTTATTCACCAAAATGATTTAGTTATCCTGCTTCCTTGCTCCTGAAAAGACACATAGATAGCACCCTGGCATTTTACCAGATTTGAGCCAAATCTACAAAATGCAGCCTTGTTTCTCTGAGTCATAGTAGTTCCATGTCTTCCTACTTCTTCCATGTAGTCCAAAAGTGGTCTTTGTCTTTCAACTGAATTATAGGTGACATTTGAAAAATTTGTGCAAGCTTTCAAGGTTTTAGTGGCAAAATGGACTTTATTACTAGCATATAATATCTACATAGGGCGATACATTGCGATATTTGCACATGTGCTTAAATATATCTTTGTTAGATTTTCCCCTCCCATTGTTCTCCCTCCTCCTCTCTTCCCCCGTCTTAGGACAATTTGAACAAGTTTCATTCTTCTAATTTCAAATATCATACAAAATACATCCACAGTATTTACCCTCATTCACCATTTCCTTATGCCCTCTGTGCTCCAGTGGTACCTACCCCTGGGAAAGACTTGTTTGATCTTTGTATTCTTCATTTTTAAAAAGTGTATATTGATAAGCCAAGGGGGCTTAGTCTTGGCATTTCGGACAGGTAAATATCTTGCTTTAATCCGATTAACATCCCCCCACTTATGTACTCTTTCTTGTTCCATGCTCTCCTATTATTGAACAGCTTACAATGCATCATGTTATATTATATTTATATATAGATGGGATGTGTTTCAACATTTTTCATTCTCTAACATTTTTTCACTGTCCTGTTTCCCATAGTCACCTCAGGCAGACCCCTAATGCAATCTTATTCGCTCTCTCACTATATATTTATATATTTTTTTCCCATGTGTTTTTATTTGGACATTTAACTTATAGATCTAGCTTCCACATCTAAGGGAAAACAAGTGATCTTTGACTTTTTGAGCTTGGCTTACTTCACTTAACACAATGTTCTCCAGTTCCATCCATTTATCCATAAGCAACATAATTTCATTCTTCTTTATAGCAGAATAAAATTTCATTGTGTATATGCACCACATTTTCTTAATCCATTCATCAGTTGTGGGGCATTTGGGCTGTTTCCAAAGTTTGGCTATTGTGAGTAATGCTTCAATAAATGTGGAAGTGGAAGTGGCTCTATTGAAAATGAACATCTTAACCCTTTAATGAATAGAGTTGTAAAGAAGGAAAAAGCAAATGAAGTAGGTTCCAAGCTGATTTTTGCTTAAACAATATGGGATGTACTGTCTTAAGAATGGAAATCACACTGCTATTATTTGTACTAGAATGTTCTTTAGCATTATTTCTACAAACATATCTGCATGCCAGGGCTGGGTGCCAAGAAAGCTATCCAGAGAGACATGGAGCACACATATCAACCTGAGAGAGACGCTGAGCAATCTGATGAAGCAGTGATGTGTGATGGGTCCTAGAACAGAAGTCAGTTACAGAACCTGAGAGACTGGTGCTTTCTCCCAAGGGACTTGATGTTTGGAAAAAAGGGGCCTGATGATCAATTGGTTCATGAGAAGGAGATGTTCCTGGTCGAGGGGGAACAATAACAAAGTCAAGAAAGCCTGGCATGGACAGGGGCATTGGCCAGTGGGGAAGGCTGGATGTGGTGGTTGGAACGTTGGCTTTGAGGGTTGAGGTGGATGGGAAGAAAGGCAGGAGAGGAGGTAGCTCCAGGAAGAACAGTTGACATCTTCACTCATTTAGCACTGGATTGTCTCAGAAGAGTAGTTAGAAGGAGATTTATAGGGTACAACTGCTTTTTCAGAAGGCCATTCTAGAGAATAATGAGAAAAAAACATCAGCAAAATCAAGGAAAGTGAATATGTTGATGTACTTTCTATACAAGAATGAATATAGGATTTTTAAACCTGTTGAAATCACCATAAGAAGAGGGCTAAGGTAAAAAGGAAAAAAATAGAGGGGATGAGCCAATTCAGGTTATAATACTATATACATGGAAATGTCACAATGAAATTCCCTGTAGAGCTATCTTAAACAAACAAAAATGTCCTTTTTTTCAACAATGGAGAATGGGAAGGTTATAAGGAAAAGGTATAGGAGGGAGAATATGGTAGAAATATGTACTCATGTATGCAAATGGAAAAATGAGACTTGTTGAGACTATTCTAGGAATCAGGAAAGGAGGGAGAAAGAAGAGTGATGGATGGCATGAATTCAACTATGATATGTTGTAGGAACTTTTGTAAATGTCACAATGTACCCCCAGTACAACAAAAAACTTTAAACATTAAAAAAAAGAAAATAAATTATAATTCATCCCTCCAGTCAAACTTTGGTATCACCAGTTGTTTTTTGTTGCACATACATATACCAATATCCTTTTATTCTTTTTTTATTGTATCATTTTTTACACTTACTCATATATGCACACATTGTTTGGGCCACCTCCACCTGCCCCAACCCTACTTTTGGGCAGAACCTGTTCTGCCCTCTTGTTCTTCAATTTTGTTGAAGAGCAAACATAAGAGATAATAAGAGAGACATAGCATTTTTGCTAGTTTGAGATAAAGATAGCTAAAGAGAGAGATTCCAAGCATTGCTTCCATGCTCATGTGTGTTACAACCCGAACTGATTCATCTCTACCACACCTCTTCACTACTTCCCGGTCACCTTCACATAGCCTTTTATTCTTTAAGCCCAAATGAGGTCATATTGTGCACTGTATTTATAAGTTTTTCATTCTATTCTTCGTGGGTTTAGTTGATAACTTGTATTTACTTTTTCTGAGCTGGATGCTAGATTACCGGTGTGTTTGTCTTAATCTATGAATCTTAATCTGTGCAACTATACAATATCGTTCATGCCATGTTGACAGGTAAGATGGAATGTGGTGGTAGCCTTCCTTCAGACACTTTTCATCTCTCTTTCTAGCCCTGAAATCACATGAAGCTGTGGGTAGAGATTCGCCTGATAGTTCCAGAAATGCCTCTCTGCCCAAGGATGGTGAGTAACCACACGCTGGTAACAGAGTTCATCCTGCAGGGCTTTTCAGAGCATCCAGAATACCAGCTGCTCTTATTTAGCTGCTTCCTCTCCCTCTACTCTGTGGCCCTCACAAGTAATGTCCTTATCATCCTGGCCATCACCTTCAACCCTGGGCTCCACACCCCCATGTACTTTTTCCTGTTTAATTTGGCTACTATGGACATTATCTGCACCTCCTCCATCATGCCCAAGGCAATGAAGGGTCTGCTGTCAGACAAGAACTCCATCTCCTATGGAGGCTGCATGGCCCAGCTCTACTTCCTCACGTGGTCTGCATCCTCAGAGCTGCTGCTCCTCACGGTCATGGCCTATGACCGATATGCAGCCATCTGCCACCCCCTGCATTACAGCACCATGATGAGCAAGGCATTCTGCAGTGTGCTTCTTGCTGGAGTGTGGATGCTTTGTGCCTTCAACACGGCCATCCATACGGGGCTGATGATGCTCTTGAACTTCTGTGGCCCCAATGTGATTACTCATTTCTTCTGTGAGGTCCCTCCTCTGCTACTTCTCTCCTGTAGCTCTACTTATGTGAACAGTGTCATGATTGTCCTGGCCGATGCCTTTTATGGCATATTGAACTTCCTGATGACCATCGTGTCATATGTCTTCATCATCTCCAGCATCCTGAAGATGCAGACTTCAGAGGGGAAGCAGAAAGCCTTCTCCACCTGCTCTTCCCATCTCATTGTGGTGTGCATGTATTACAGTGCTGTGTTCTATGCCTACTTAAGTCCTGTCTCCAGCTATAGTGCGGAGAAGAGCAAGTTGGCTGGTGTGCTGTACACTATGTTAAGCCCCACCCTCAATCCTCTCATTTATACTTTGAGAAACAAAGAGGTCAAAGCAGCCCTCAGGAAGCTTTTCCCCTTCTTTAGAAATTAATATTTCCAGAAGTTGTTGTTCTTGGATGCTGCAGTTTTAGTGGGACTGGCTTTGTGTGGAGTAACAGATGAACAAGTTTCTGGGCTGCAGGTAAATAAGCTTGCCTGTTCCACCCCTGCAGAATGTCTGCATGGACGAGCTCAGAATTCTGCTGTACTGAGACTGGCTGATGGAAGATTGTGGTTTGTTGTGAGACCACAAGACTCTGAGACACAGCATCTGCTCATTTGACTGATAGAATGGTTGTGAGGCAGGGAAACAAAGCTCTCTAGAGGAAAAACATTCCTTGTGCTTTATACTTACAGCTATATGAAAATGTCTTACTTGACTTCTGGATGAAAAGAATTCAGGGTGTGAATCGAAAATCATACCTAGAATTTAGGTGTGTATGCCTGGAAAGAACTAGGCAGGATGTGTGGACCCCATAGAATTTGTAAGATGGTCAGGTTGAAGAACTGCTTAAGGTCCCTACAAAAACTTCTACCCATTCTCTTACCTCACACTTTCCTCTGGAGGTCTTTTAACTTCAAAAATAGCTTCTGTTTGTAATGCAAACTGTCATTTCTGTTTTCCCCCTATCTTCTCACTAACATTCAAGGTGTAACAAAGTTTTAGGAGTACTGCTTTGTCTTGAATGTAGAAAATCCAACTTTGACATGTGATGTATTGTCTATGAACCTAGAAAAATGCCTGTGATCCATTAACTTTTTTCTCAGATCTTTAGGACATCACCTATCTCATTGGCCTGGAGTGGGGAACAGTGGTGTCATAGGTGCTCAGAGAGGAAGTGTGGATGTGGAGAGCCTTGAAATGGAAGAGACAAGACCTGGGTTATGGTCCAGCTCTTTCAGAAGCATCCAGCCCATTTGAGCCCTAGTTTCTTTCTAAGTATAACGAAGACAAAAATCCCATCTAGAGATGTTGCCTAACTTGATTGAGACCATGGAAGAAAATGATATCAAGTGCTTTATAAGAGTAAGACAGTATCTGGATGATCAATGAGGACAAGAGTGGTTGAGAAAGCCTAACTGTTACCACCCCTTCCATGGGCCTGGCTCGGGGTGTCTTGGTAATTGTCTCTTTGAAAATTGGGAGATTCAACTAGGTTGGGTAAATGAGAAACATTTATCTCATTTCCCCAAATAAGAATGTCTTTCAAAACTGTAGTACCATTTCACAACCAGGGTGTTCACTCAGAGGCCAGACATGGAACACTATTAAGTGCAGATCATATCTTATATATAAAGCAAGTCTAACACATATAAGGAAATTGAAATACCTTCCTGTAGTTTATCAGACCACAACAGAATAAAACTAGGAATTAATAATAAGAGAAATTACAGAAAATATTCTAAAACAGGAAGACAATTCACTTTTAAACACTCAGTGGGTTATCAAAGAAATAAGACAGAAATAAAAAATTCCTAGAGGAAATGACAATGCAAACAACTTACCAGAACCTTTAGAACGAGCAAAGGCAGTGCTAAGAGGAAGGTCTATGGCCATGAGTACCTACATTAAAAATCAGAGAAATTTCAAGTGAATAATCTAATGATGAATCTGAAGCTCTTAGAAAAACAAGGACAAAACAAACCTAAAATAAGCAGACAGAAAGAAGTAATAAAGATCATGCAGAAATCAAACAAATGGAAACTAAAGGAACAATACGAAGAATCAATGAAATGAAAAGTTGGTTCTTTGAAAAAATGAGCAAGATCAATGAATCTTTAGCCAAACTAAGCAAAAGAAAGAGGGAGAAGACCGAAATTAATAGAATTAGAGATGAAAAAACATATCTCAGTTAACATGAAAGAAATTTCAGAGAATCATTAGGTAATACTTTGAAAACCTAGGTTTTTATAAACCAGAAAATCTAAAATAAATGGATACATTTCTACATGCATATGACCTATGAAAATTTAGCCAAGAGAATATAAAGCACCTAAACAAAACTGTAATAAGCAATGAAATTAAAGCAGTAATATTCTCTCAACAAAGAAAATCCCAGGAGTGGATGGATTTGCTGCTGAATTCTCCAAAACTTTCAAGAAGAATTAACACCTCAAAATGCTCTTCAAAATATTCCATTACATAGAAAGGGAAACTCATTCTATGAAGCCAAAAGCCAGGCAGAGATGTGACAAAAAAGGAAAATTATTTCCCTGATGAACATAGATGTTGTGAGTTTTCGCTCTGAATGGGATGAGATGGAATTTTAGTGTAATTTATTTTCTCTTTCCAATTAATTTTTATTTATTCATATGTGCATTACAAGGCTTGTGGTCATTTCTCCCCCCTGCCCCACCCCCTCCCTTACTACCCACTCCACTCTCCCCTCCCTCTCCCGTCCCCCCCTCAATACCCAGCAGAAACTATTTTGCCCTTATTCTAATTTTGTATGTAGAGAGAGTATAGAGCAATAATAGGAAGGAACAAGGGTTTTTGCTGGTTGAGATAAGGATAGCTATACAGGGCATTGCTCACATTTGATTTCCTGTGCGTGGGTGTTACCTTCTAGGTTAATTCTTTTTGATCTAACCTTTTCTCTAGTTCCTGGTCCCCTTTTCCTATTGGCCTCAGTTGCTTTAAGTATTCTGCTTTAGTTTCTCTGCAATTAAGGGCAACAAATGCTAGCTAGTTTTTTAGGTGTCTTAACCTATCCTCACCCCCCTTGTGTGCTCTCGCTTTTATCATGTGCTCAAAGTCCAATCCCCTTGTTGTGTTTGCCCTTGATCTAATGTCCACATATGAGGGAAGAACATACGATTTTTGGTCTTTGGCCAGGCTAACCTCACTCAGAATGATGTTCTCCAATTCCATCCATTTACCAGCGAGAATGGACAACAGTTCCTTCTTCACTGCATAAAATTCCATTGTGTATAGATACCACATTTTCTTAATCCATTCGTCATAGTGGGGCATCTTGTTTCCATATAATTGGCTATTGTGAATAGTGCCGCCCAATAAAACATGGGATGTGCAGGTGCCTCTGGAGTAACAGTCTTTTGGTATATCCCCAAGAGTGGTATTGCTGGATCAAATGGTAGATCGATGTTTTTAGCTTTTAAGTAGCCTCCAAATTTTTTCCAGAGTGTTGTACTAGTCTACATTCCCACCAACAGTGTAAGAGGGTTCTTTTTCCCGCATCCTCGCCAACACCTGTTGTGGTGGTGTTGCTGATGATGGCTATTCAACAGGGGTGAGGTGGAATCTTAGTGTGGTTTTAATTGCATTTCCTTTATTGCTAGAGATGGTGAGCATTTTTTCATGTGTTTTCTGGCCATTTGAATTTCTTCTTTTGAGAAAGTTCTGTTTAGTTCACTTGCCCATTTCTTTATTTTCATTAGTTTTGGGAGAATTTAGTTTTTTAAGTTCCCTATATATTCTGGTTATCAGTCCTTTGTCTGATGTATAGTTGGCAAATATTTCTCCCACTCTGTGGGTGTTCTCTTCAGTTTAGAGACCATTCTTTGATGAACAGAAGCTTTTTAGTTTATGAGGTCCCATTTATCTATGCTATCTCTTAGTTGCTGTGCTGCTGGGGTTTCATTGAGAAAGTTCTTACCTATACCTACTAACTCCAGAGTATTTCCTACTCTTCCTTGTATCAACTTTTAGAGTTTGGGGTCTGATATTAAGATCCTTGATCCATTTTGAGTTAATATTGGTATAGGGTGATATACATGGATCTAGTTTCAGTTTTTTGCAGACTGCTAACCAGTTTTCCCAGCAGTTTTTGTTGAAGAGGCTGCTATTTTCCATCGTATATTTTTAGCTCCTTTGTCAAAGACAAGTTGTTATAGTTGTGTGGCTTCATATCTGGGTCTCTATTCTGTTCCACTGGTCTTCATGTCTGTTTTTGTGCCAGTACCATGCTGTTTTTATTGTTATTGCTTTGTAATATAGTTTGAAGTCAGGTATTGTGATACCTCCTGCATTGTTCTTTTGACTGAGTATTGCCTTGGCTATTCGTTGGCCTCTTGTGTTTCCATATAAATTTCAAGTAGATTTTTCAATCTCTTTAATGAATGTCATTGGAATTTTGATGGGAATTGCATTAAACATGTAGATTACTTTTGGGAGTATGACATTTTTACTATGTTGATTCTACCAATCCATGAGCATGGAGATCTCTCACTTTCTATAGTCTTCCTCATCTCTTTCTTCAGAAGTTGTATAGTTTTCTTGTAGAGGTCTTTCACATCTTTTGTTAGGTTTACACCTAGGTATTTGATTTTTTTTGAGGCTATTGTAAATGAATTGTTTCATACATTCTTTTTCAGTTGTTGCTCATTGTTAGTGTATAGAAATGCTAATGATTTTTCTATGTTGATTTTATAATCCTGCTACTTGCTATAGCTATTGATGATGTCTAGAAGCTTCTGAGTAGAGTTTTTTGGGTCTTTAAGGTATAGGATCATGTCATCTGCAAATTTTGACAGTTTCTTTACATTTGTATTCCTTTATTCCTTCTTCTTGCCTAATTGCTCTGGCTAGGAATTCCAGTACTATGTTGAATAGGAGTGGAGATAGTGGGCATCCTTGTCTGGTTCCTGATTTTAGAGGGAATGTTTTAGTTTTTCTTCCGTTAAGTATAATGCTGGCTGTAGGTTTGTCATATATAGCTTTTATAATGTTGAGAACTTTCCTTCTATTCCTAGTTTTCTTAGAGCTTTTATCATGAAATGATGTTGGATCTTATCAAAGGCTTTTTCTGCATCATTGAGAATGATCAAGTGGTTTTTGTCTTTGCTTCTGTTAATGTGGTTTATTACGTTTATTGATTTCGTATGTTGAACCACCCTGCATTCTGGGATGAAGCTACCTGTCGTGGTGAATAATCTTTTTGATGTGTTGCTGAATTCGGTTTGCATTATTTTGTTGAGATTTTTGCATCAATGTTCATTAAGGAGAGTTGGCCTATAGTTTCTTTTTGGAGGTGTCTTTGCCTGTTTGGGATAAGTGTTAATACTGGCTTCATAAAATGTGTTTGGGCATTT